TGTAAACATCAGTGTTAATGTGAAGTTTGTGTTTATACTTAATATAAACTGCCCGACCAGTTAGTGTGTAGCTGAGTCTCCAGCCTTAGTTAGCCCATAGTCCATAACGTCGAGCGCGAGAGCCCATGCACGTGTAGGAGGAATAGGCGTCGCTAAGGAGTCGCTGCCGACCACCCATAACGCAGAGGGCAGACGCTTGTGCACGTGTAGGGAGGAGCCGGAGACAGGGCCGTCTTTGGAGGCATCGAGCGTCAACATGACTGGTCGAGGATTTGCATTAAGTATAGCTGTATGTTATATTTAAGATAGTATACATGGACAAACGTTATTTGAAGAATAATCATGGCAAGGACGTTGTGGAGAAATGTCGTAATGAAAATTGTGTCAAATATAAATATTAGAAGTGTACTTATCTTTAGATAGAAATTTGGTCGATGGTGATAAAGTTGTCCGATCCTCGTACTTTTTGGCCTGTTGTGATGGTGGTCGCGGTTGTCATAGCGCCGTTCTTCGTGGCGATCATCATTGCGACGTGGTCTGGTGGTCGAGGTGGTCGGAGCTTGGCGGAGCCGCTCGAGACGTGGTCGACGTGGTCTATGGTCGATGTGGTCGGAGCTCGGCGGAGCCGCTCGAGACGTGGTCGACGTGGTCGGAGCTCGATCAGTTCGGTGGTCGGAGTAAGTAGTCCGGACGACGTTGTCCTTATGTTAGTGATCGGCCTTAGGAGATTCGGTGAGATCATTGAGGTCGGAGCAACGATGCTGTACGGCGGAGCAGATGGGGCGTGGCCGAAGCGTGCTTGATGCGTGCGTTGTCTTCGTAGTCGTCGTTGGAGTAGATAAATCCATGGCCTTAACGCTGAGTACATGCAACGTACATGCATGAATACATAACTGCTTGCATGTCGGATTCGGTCATGTCATGAAGACATCGGACTCTTGTCGTAGCAGAGGCAATCAGCGCGGAAGCCGAAGCCCCTGTCGTGTCTGAGCTGGAGTTGAACCCAATCGTCAAAGACAGATTTAGCAGGATCTGGTAGTCGGACTGGTTCGGATGACCTGTTCATGCGTGTATATACCCGTATATGCCCTGGCGTTTCTTGCTTGTGGAAGCTATAACTAGCTTGCATGATGACGTAGATCGCACAGCCTTTGATTTCTTGCTTGCCTGACAGCTTGCACCCGAACGTTGATGCCTGCGGTGGATGGTAGCTAGCAACAACCAACATGCAAATCCAATCTAGTCCTGTAATGTCACGATTAACTGATGCCGTGGTTTGCAGAAGTAGCGGCCGATGCCAAATCTGTGGGAGTAGATTCGGAACGCTGCTTTCAATGACGTTGTTGAAGCTGGGAAGCGGATCCAATCTCGTTGAAATCTCGGCTTGATTCCCATGTGTGCGACGCCGGAGATGCCGCCGCAGATAGCTGACTTGATGACGAGTTCGCACAGCGACGTCAAGCCGCCGCAAGATCCTTAAGACGACGACTCCATCTTAGGTGAAGGACGCCGCCGCCAGAAGCTAAATTGCCACGGATGGCATTGATCTTGAGGTCCATCTGGTTCGCCATAGGATTAGCACGCACACCCCCTACCTGGCGCGCCACTGTCGACGAAATATGGTCGGCAGTCCACCGAGGGGGGTGCCCGTGATGGTAGATTGTTGGTAGACGGTGCGTGTAATCAGGAACCAGATGGTTACAGAGACACAAGACACAAGATTTATACAGGTTCGGCCGCCGTGTTGGCGTAATACCTACGTCCTGTGTCCCGTTATTCTGTATTGATTGAGGTGAAATGTGATCTGTCCTCTTGGGGGACCCTTGCCCCTCCTTATATATTCCGAAGGGACAAGGTTACAAATAAAGTATCCAATTTGGTACAATTACAATATAATGTCATGCTCCGCACGTCTTCACCTTGCGGGCTGGGCCACTTCCGGTGGTGCGGCCCATGTATACCCATGAGGGTATAGGGGGTCTATTCCCCCACAGGGTGTGACCCTCTATTTATAGGTGGAGGTGGAGCCTGGCACCACGTCAGCGATCCGTGTGGCCTCCATCAAGCACCATTGGATCAAACTACCATTAAATCAAGGGTTGAGATCATTGGAGTGCATGGAGGCATGCACTAAGGCGATGGGTGAAAGATGGACGTCGATTGACACCATAGGGGCATCGATCGACCCCCCTATGATAGGTGGGACCTATCTCCCCCTTCTAGAAGGATGGTCCACTATCATAGTGTGTGATTGGCCACCTTTGTCACGTTGGATGCTTCATTGTGGGCCCATGAATCCTTGTGACTTCATCTTCCACCCTTGGGAGAAAACACAAGTGTGATTCAAGAGTGGGAATTGTCTTCAGGGTACTTCACATGGATTCTGCCACCTTGGCAGGGCCTGGTGAGCCCATAGGGGGGGGGTCGGGCAACCCCCATATGGTGGGTCCACAGTCTCATCTTCTCCAGTTTCGTAACATCCTGCATACACATGCTAAAAGTGCAAGTGGAACTTGTTATTGGTACAATATGTTCATGTCATGTTATTTTTCTTTTGATCCGAGGCTGTTGATGGTGTTCTCCGAGAGTGCAAATTTGTGACATTTTCACCGTCAACAACACCGGACAAGACGGTGCCCCCTGGCGATACCCAACTCAGTTTTTGCCCCTCTCTAGATAATTAGGGAGGAATTGCCACACAACAAGGGTGGCGGTGCCCAACTTTTCTCAAACCAGTTTTGGCCAACCTCGGGAAAAATAGGACGATGCCCACGGCGGTGGCACCGGATAGGGTGGTGCCCCCCGTGACTTGGTTGTGCGAGGCTGAGTGTTTGGCTCACCTGTCTGACCCACGGACATCCCAAGCAACTCTCCACAAGCGATGCTAACTCTTAAATGTTTTCACAAACATGTTAGAGCCAAGTTAGCATTTTCAAAAATATTTTTCATAAATATTTTCGTTTGCTCTCCAATGTGCGCTAGGCCTAAATGCAATGCATTGTATTCCAACACCTAGTGATACGAGATGACCAAATTGTCTAATAGAGCTCCCCTCTTAGTAGTACGATCATCTATCCTAAACCTAATCACGTACTCTATTACGTCTTGATTGACAAAACAAAATCCCTATTTATACCTTTGCCATGATCTCCATAGGGTTTTGTTTTTCTCTTTCTTCTTTTCCATGTTGGAGCACTTGATCATCATCACATGTGGCTAACTCCATCACTTGAGTGCTATCTAGCTCCATCACTTGGTGTGTATGAACCTATCTCATATGTCACTTAGATAAATGGTGGGTACACGTAGGTTTCATCAATTATCCAAAACCAAAATAGGGCTTTCATCGTGGATGGGGCGAATGAAGCCATTGGGCAGGGCTGTGCGGCCATTCGTGGTGGGTTCGTGGATGAGGACATGCCGATGCTTGTAGAGAAGAAGCAAGAGATAGGGGGGAGAATCCATTTTTTGAATGACATGTGGGGCCATAGCTAAAGCGGTTAGGTGATCTCTTTTTTGATTCATCTCTCATACAACAAACATGAAAAATAGAACTGTTGTGTCCTTTCAACAGAACATTAGGGTGGAACCATTCTATCCTAGAATCAAGGATATAACCATTCCATTGTACCTCACTTTCCAATCAAACACACCTAAAAGAGATGATGAAACCATTATTTTTTAGGGTTTGTCTCCTGCTCAGGTGACTGATGGCCAGCAAACCATCAGTCATCTTCAACCTCGCACCCCACCCCGGCCTGTCTCGTCGGCGACCGTGCCTTCTTCCTCCTTCTCATGCCCCACCCGCGCCTTCTTCCTCATCGCGCCCTACCCCTGCCTACGCCTACCTCACCGGCGGCCGCGCCCTCCTCCTCATCCTTGCCCCCGCCGCTACCCACCGCGTTGCCGCAGTGCGCTAGGGTTTGGCCGGAGCTCCGTGGACATGGAGCTCCGGTGAAACCCTATCGCGCTCGCGGTGGCCACCTTGTTCCCCTCCTCATCCTTCTTCTGCGACAAGCTCCGGCCATGGAGCTCCCCCGCCCCGACCTGGCCTATCCGCCTCCATCGCCGCTAGGGCCCCCAAACCGCCCTGTCGTCGTCCCCACCACCTGACCGGCTTTCCTCCCCCAAACACTTTCTCTTCTAAGCCTGCCGTAGTTGGGGATGAAGGGGGTGGGGTGGGCACGAGCGCGTGCGGTGGGGAAGAAGAACAGTGGAGCTGGTGGGACCCACCACATGCGGCGCGCTAGGGAGGGGATTGGGGAGGTGGGCGCAAGTGCGGGCGCGTCTACTAACAGATAAACAAAGTTTCAGTCGCAACCTTTTGGATAAATCTATATTCCGTTTGGTAGGGCTTCACTTCACTAGTGAAGCCATTTTTTTTTGCTTCAGCTCCACAAACAGTTCCACCGATGGGGCTAAAGCGGTTTTGGTAAACCGTTTGGCAAAATAGCTTCCCTGTGAGAGCATGGTTTTAGGGGCCTGTAGGAGGAGGGAGAAACCACTTTTTTGGCTTTTGCTCCAATCAACCTCAAATGTTTTAGGGGGAGAGTAAAACTATTTTAGAGGCTTCACAAGTGAAGCTATTTTACTTTACTCTGTTTGATTGAAAACGACTTCAAACGGCTTGGAGAAGCCCTGGTTAATACTCCGGTTCTTCTGTACACGGTAGCAAGAAGCTGTTTGGAGCCGTGCCTACGAGTTGAGGGGATGACGTTCGGCCATACCTGAGTTACTTTTCTGATATTGCGTCTTCCAGAAAACTGAAAACACCGCACATTCCTGAGCCTCTGCCAGTCCGCCACCTTTCCCCCAAAATTTCACAAGCTCCGCATCGTCGCTCGGGCAGTCCGACCCACGCGCCACGCCCGGAGGCCACAGAGCAGCTCCCCACCCGCCCGAGGCCCGACCAGTGACCACCATCCTTCGCGGCCGCGCGGCCGCGCCACGCCCAAACCCCGCAAAACCCTAACCCAGGCCCGCCGGCCACCACCACCGCCATGCCGACCGCCACTCCCCTCCCCCACCACCTCCTGGCCACGCTCCTCCTCCTCCTCCTCCTGGCCTCCGCGCCCCGGCCCGCGGCCCCCGCCTCCACCGACCGCGCGGCGCTCCTCTCGTTCCGCGCCGCCCTGTCGCCGCCCTCCCGCGCCGCGCTCTCCTCCTGGAGCGGCCCGCTCTCGCCGTCCTGGCGCGGCGTGTCTCTTCACCCCACCGCGGCGCCAGCCCCCTCGCCCGCCGCCCCCTCCGTCGCCGATCTCTCGCTCCGGGGCCTCAACCTCACGGGCGTGCTCCCCGCGGCGCCGCTCGCGCTCCTCCGCCGCCTCCGCACGCTCGACCTCTCCGCCAACGCGCTGTCGGGAGAGCTCCCCTGCTCCCTCCCGCGCTCGCTCCTCGTGCTCGACCTCTCCCGCAACGCACTCTCGGGGGCTGTCCCCACCTGCCTGCCGTCCTCTCTCCCCGCGCTCCACACCCTCAACCTCTCCGCCAACTTCCTCCGCCTCCCGCTCTCCCCGCGTCTCTCTTTTCCCGCGCGCCTTGCTGCCCTCGACCTCTCCCGCAACGCCATCTCTGGCTCCGTCCCGCCGCGGATCGTCGCCGACCCCGACAACTCCGCCCTCCTTCTCCTCGACCTCTCCCACAATCGCTTCTCCGGCGAGATCCCCGCCGGTATCGCAGCCGTACGGAGCCTGCAGGGTCTGTTTCTCGCGGACAACCAGCTTTCCGGGGAGATTCCTCCCGGAATAGGGAACCTGACCTATTTGCAGGTGCTGGATTTGTCGAATAACCGGTTGTCCGGTTCAGTGCCTGCCGGACTTGCAGGCTGCTTCCAGCTTCTGTACCTGCAGCTTGGGGGTAACCAGCTCTCTGGGGCGCTGCGTCCGGAGCTCGACGCACTAGCTAGTCTCAAGGTTCTAGATTTGTCGAATAACAAGATATCTGGGGAGATTCCGCTGCCGCTGGCTGGGTGCAGGTCTTTGGAGGTGGTGGACTTGTCAGGAAATGAGATATCCGGGGAGCTCAGCAGTGCTGTAGCGAAATGGTTGAGCTTGAAGTTCTTGTCACTGGCTGGTAACCAGCTCTCCGGCCACCTACCTGACTGGATGTTCTCGTTTCCCCTGCTCCAGTGGCTTGATTTGTCTAGCAATAAGTTTGTGGGTTTCATCCCAGATGGTGGGTTCAATGTCACTGAAGTGCTTAACGGTGGAGGTGGTCAGGCCCAGGCTCAGGCGACTCCATCGGAGACTCTGCTTCCACCCCAATTGTTTGTGTCAGCTTCTGTGAACACGGTGTCATGGCAGTTGGATTTGAGGTATGATCTTCAGGCAGCTACTGGTATAGATCTGTCTGGGAATGAGCTCCGTGGCGAGATACCAGAAAGATTGGTTGCCATGAAGGGATTGGAGTATCTGAACCTCTCCTGTAATTACTTGGCTGGGCAGATCCCTGCAGGGCTTGGGGGCATGGGGAGGTTGCATACGCTTGACTTCTCACATAATGGGCTGTCAGGGGAGGTGCCTCCTGGAATTGCAGCCATGGCAGAGCTTGAGGTGCTTAACCTCTCCTACAATAGCCTGTCTGGGCCTTTGCCAACAATGAAGTTCCCAGGAGCATTGGCTGGAAACCCAGGAATTTGCAGTGGGGAAGGGTGCTCTGAGAATGCAAGAACGCCAGAAGGGAAAATGGAAGGAAGCAACCACCGTGGTTGGCTTGGTGGCTGGCATGGAGAGAATGGATGGGTATCTCTTGGTGCATTTTGTATCAGCACAATGACTAGCTTCTATGTATCATTGGCAACCTTACTATGCTCCTCTAAGGCAAGAAACTTTGTGTTTCGGCCTGTGAGGGTTGAATATTAACAAGAGGGGAAATTGCAAAATCAGGTTGTTGTGAAGTTCGAGTGACTCTGGTCTGCAACTGATTCACAAGAAAGATGAGTATATGAGATGGATATCTTCAGTCAAGAGGAAGTGTGCCATCTCGTTTAATGATCAATCAAGATTTCTTGGTTGTTTCCTAATAATATTCTTGATCTTGGGATGTGTAGATCTAGTTAACATATTCCCATCTGTTATAGAATGCCATCACCTGCTGGTGATTGGTTGTAGCCCTGGCGTGTTTGGAGGATTGGACACCAAGGATGCACATAATTTGGAGCGCTGGTACTGTGAACCACTTCGGATGTAAATATTTTCTTTGTTTTTTAGTTATGATCTAGTTTAAAACTGGGCATGGATGTAGTGCTGTTGAGCTACCTTTCGATGTTATATTATGTCTGTAAACTTGCTTATATTTCTGAACTTGGTTTGGGGGTAAAAGGCTTTGTTGTTGTTGTGTGTATCTGTTATAGTGTGCAGTGTGATTGAGACTGCAAATGTGCTTGACTATTTCTTGGTGCTGCTCCTGTAACACCTATAGTTTTATAGGTCAATGGTAATTTTGCTGTCTGAAGCAGCATCCAGCAAGATGGCTACTGTTTTTGGTATTGTAATACTTTGCAACAGAGGTGCAAAGTTTGTGATTTCAGAATGATCAACAAACGTATCTGTCTGCAGCATCAACAAACGTATCTGCTGCAAAGTGAGACAAGGCAACATATGTATCTCTGTTTTGTGCATACCAAACTAACCCAGCATGTAATTGCAGAATGATAATTCCTATAATCGTAGCATACATAGCTTCTTCAGCTGGAGAAGGTGGAGAATAAGCATCAGTAGCTTTTCAAAGGATTGGGCACTTGTACGGAATCAGTCAGACTCATGCAGGAACCAGGTTTCTTTTTCCATTATAACCTTTTTTTTCCCTGAACTTCCTGCAATACCTACCACTACTTGTAAAGTTGGTTCAGTTTCACAGTGAACCACAGAATTTCATTGCTTTTAATCAAACGTGGAATGGTGGCACACTTCTAATGGAAAAAACAACATGCTTCATACCTCACAGTTTTGTTTTGTTCTTTAGATTACTTTGAATGTGACCTTTGCATCCTTGAGATCGTCACTTAGTGATTTTAAAAGGGCGTACGTAGTGCAGAGAGCTCCTGCTCTGTGCGGGAGGTCTGGGGAAAGGTGTTAGTGGCAAGCCTTACCCTCGCCTATGCAATGCGAGGAGACCGTGACCCGAACCTGGGACCTTCCGGTCACTTAGTGATTTTACTTGAGAGAAAAATATGACTACTGAATTGAAGACACTTTGTTTTATGATTTCTAGAAGAAAAAAATTATGGTGTTTGCAGATTATGTGAGCCATCTATTGGCTAAAATCTGATGCCCCACAATCAAAGGTACTATGTGAAAGGTGCTTAAGTAGAAAGGGTAGAAAGGAAATTTTGTGTGTACATAAGTAGATGGAGAAGGGCCAAAACATCTTTGTTGTATCAATCGGTACAGGTATGGGAACATTAAGGGTGTTTTTTTTTTCAGATTTCCAGAAGAACCTGACCTCCGTTCCCCAGGTCCTGCACGATCCTTTTAACTCAGATTAATAGCTGCATAAGATGATTCACAGTTTTACTTGTTATATCTTGAACTAACCATTTCTCTGCAATATGGTGGATGAAGCTGTGTTAGATTAATGTTATACTGTTATTTCATGAACTCGTCCAGTCTCTCAGCATTTATCTTACACGTTCTTTGTATATTTGTTGTTCTTATTTTCTGGCTGTGGGCCTGTGAGTCAACATATTAAAGCTATCGTAAATGTGCAGAGCCCTTGGCGGCTTGGTTTATGCCCAGGACCAGCCAAGCCAAAATTTTGTATGTAATAATCGAAACCTGGACAACACCAACTGCCGGCCTTTAGCAACGAGAATGTTTGGACCGTGGCCAAGATGAATTCCAGTTCCAGCTGACCATGTTGTGTACTAGCAGTACTGCGTACATGACAGCTAAATTGTCTTGGATCTAGATAAGGTGACCTGGACGAAAACAACTGCTGATGGTTGGTCTCTGTCCAGGAACTGGCTCGTCTGGCCTAAACAAAGATCAGCAGAGCTGCAGAGTTCATGACTTCATGTGGCCGTTGTTGACGTTCAGTCCAGAGTTTGGCACTTGGCACCAGTAGATCACATGAAGGACGTGTGCGCAGCTCTTTACTGACGTGGAATGGATGGATCATGGCAACAAAGAGTCCTCTAGAGCTGGCGGCAGCGACAGATCGCACCTGACCTGGCCCTGACGCGTCAGAGGAATCGAGATCAGCGTCGGGTTTATCAGCTGATCTGCACGCTCATGCTCATCACGTGAGTCCATTTCAGGTGTGCTCCAGATTTTCTGCCCTGTGACTGCCATTGATTTCCTGTTGGTAAAAGTGTAGCTGGATCTGAAGAATCTGGATGGTGCCATAGCGTCTTGGACGCCACGTACTAGGTAACACGTAAATTGAGTTGGACGAATTTTCATCGAGAGGGGGATTTTCGATCAACAAGACTGTCTTCAACAGGTGATTCGTATTGGCATCTAAACCCAAAATGAATAGTATAAGATTTAAAATTAGTTTTCAACAGAGTACCTATACGTGAGACTCATTTTGAATTGTCTGAGAGGCACAATCCAAATATAAGTATCCCTTCTCCTGAAGATACATTTGCAGAAAGGATTTTCTTTTGGGTTCCATTGTTGGAGAGGATGTCGAATATGTATTGAACCCTTTAACTGTATCACTACCCAAACGTTGAATGTGTCTTATATTTTATGTGTTATCGTTGGAGATAGTCCAGAGAACTCGAAATGCAGTATCTTTACAGTAGGGGGAAAGAGGTTCAATCAACCAGAAGCAAACCGAGCCCACAGAAGACTTATCACCTCCTGAATCTCAAAAATCACAGACCCTGCGGCTGAAAAGCGCCCGGAGGCCGGAGTATCCCCCTCTTTCTTGGCGCGGCACGTGGTGAGCAGCTGAGCATGGCGCCTTCACCGCCGCAGCAGCTAAGCCTTGCCCTTGCGGACCTCAGGGCCCTGTCCGTGCTCGGCCAGGGCGCCGGGGGCGTGGTCTTCCACGTCGTGCCCGTCGCCGCAGCCGGGGACAGCGCCGCTGCAGGTGCAGGCGAGCCCATGGCGCTCAAGGCCATGTCCCGCGCCGCCGCGCGGCGCAAGGGCGCAGGAGGCACGTGCGGTGGCGGTGACGGGCACCGGAGGATCTGGTTCGAGCGCGACGTCCTGCTGTCGCTCCGCCACCCGCTGCTCCCGTCCCTCCGCGGCGTCGTGGCCACCGACGCCGTCGTCGGCTTCGCCATCAGCCGCTGCCCCGGCGGCGACCTCAAGTCGCTCCGGCGCCGCTGGCGCGCCCAGACCACGTTCCCGGAATCCGTCATCCGGTTCTACGCGGCGGAGCTGGTGCTCGCGCTCGAGCACCTCCACGGCCTCGGCGTCGTGCACCGCGACCTCAAGCCGGAGAACATCCTCATCCAGGACTCAGGCCACATCATGCTCGTCGACTTCGACCTCTCCACCACGTTGCCACCGCCTCCGCCCCCGCCGCCGCCGGAGCCGGACGCGACCCCGACACGCGCCACCTCGCTTTCACCTTCCTCATCACATCACCACAGGCGCAAGAACAAGAAGGCCGCTATGGTTTTCGGCGCGTGCTTCTCCCGCCACGCAGCTTCGCCGGAGACTTCGTCGCAGTCCCCGTCGTCCACTTCGATGACGGCCTCGTCCGCGTCCGCGTCCTCGTTGTCCTGCTCCTCGCCGGGCGCTCGGACGCCAGCCAAGTCGAACTCGTTCGTGGGCACGGAAGACTACGTGGCGCCAGAGATCGTAGCTGGCAGCGGGCACGACTACGCCGTGGACTGGTGGGGCCTCGGCGTGGTGATCTACGAGATGCTGTACGGACGCACCCCGTTCCGAGGCCGGAGCCGGCGGGAGACGTTTCACCGCGTGCTCACCGCACCGCCGGAGCTGCCCGGCGAAGCCTCGCCGTTGCGCGACCTCATCACCAGGCTCCTCGAGAAGGACCCTGGGAAGCGACTAGGCGCGCGCGGCGTCAAGCGGCACGCCTTCTTTAGAGGCGTCGACTGGGACCGCGTCCTCGACGTGGCGCGCCCTCCGTTCATCCCATCGCCCGATGAAAACGATGGTAACGCCGGCGCGGTGGTGGAGGCCGAAGCGCTGGACGTGGAGAAGGTCGTACATGAAGTGTTCGGCTCGAGTGGCGCCGGCGAGACGCGGCTTATGGAGGTCTGCAGCCACGGAGGGACAGATGACGATTTCTCCATATTTTTCTGAGTTTTGGTTAGCTATATTTCTGCACTAGAGGAAGGCAGGAACTGAGGAAAACAATGAGTTTGGTTTCTTTGCTAAAGTGAGCTACCCAAATTGGCTATACTCAAATGGCAAGATTAGACTTGCCTGAGAGAGTACTTGCATTAAACCAATAAACTAGAGGTCACATTGTGTGAAGGATATTAAATCATTGTTGTATCATAAGTAGGAATCATTTGAAGCCATGAATTGAATTCACATATATTAAAATGGTTCAAGTTACAAACTCAAGGTTGTGTTGCTCAAGAAGAATGAGACAGAGTGTTGCAAACCCTTCTAAAGATATTTTGAGGAGCGTCAGCAAAAAAAAGATATTTTGAGGACAAATGACATATGAAGATATTGAAAACTCAAGTAAGTGAAATAGACATATCCTTTGATCTTGAGTATATGTATGTCATACTATTAAGAGGGACGGAATATGAATAGTTTATTAAGTCGCAAGTGCTCAAACTAACTGAAATCTGAGAGCTAACATAAGAGAAACACATGCCACAACATTTGCATTTTTTGGTCATGGAGGTCGTTTTCAATTGGGATGGATATCCCTTGCAAAAAAAAGGATGGATATCCCTCCTAACAAGCTTTTTGTAGAATCCAAGATGATCGAAATTTGAGCTTAGAGCTAGAAGTTATGATGTTTTTCGTGAGGTGACATGTTGGAGTTTCCGAAGTTCTGAACATGTTTTCTGGAAGTTCCAGACCATACACTCATTCCAGGTCCAATGCCTAGTTTTACAGTTCCAACAACTAATTTTGTTCTAGTCCGGAAGGTCCGAACATTTTTCAGAAGTTCCGGATCATGACAGACATAACGGGTAGTTCGTGAGTGTGGGGTATTTATACCCCCACTCTCCGTCATTCAGAGGGGTTACTGCTGCACTCCTATGTCCACATTTGTTCTCAAAAGCCTCTCTAGCTCTTCCCAACCTCTCTTCGTGAGGTTTGTCTAAAATTTAGTAAGTTGGGTTGAAAGTTTTAGTGATTGAGAGCAAAAGTGATCAACCGAATCCTTGAGCGCTTGTGGTCTTCATCAATCATTCGTGAAGCATTTGCTGCTTTTGAAAGTGAAACCTTCTAGACGGTTAGGCATCGCCTGGTGATCTCTCGTGCTTTTTGTGAGCCACCGGAAGTTTGTGAAGGCCCCGGATCAAGATAGTGGATCAAGGAAAGCAATTGAAATAGACTCATCTTAAGCTTGACCTTTGGGTCGCTTGGAGCTTCCTCAACGAAGACGCATGTTCTTCTTGGAAGGAGTTGAGTTTTTCGAAAACAAATCCTCATGTCTCTGCTTTGGTTTGATTACTTTGAGCTCTTGCTTTGGTTTGTGCTTCCCACTCAATCTACTTGGTTGTGCATATTTGTGAGTGAAGAAGGTGCTTTTGGACTTGCTAGTGGACATCTCCACTCATATTTCTAGGTTTGGTTTGCGCTAGAACTCTCTAGGCATAGTTTCATCTTGAGCTTTTCTATTTGTGTGGAACTTCCGGACCTACTTACATACCAACTTCTGGACATGCACAAGTTTCGAACAAATCTAGAACTTTCTAAGATCGACTAATCCGATGTATCTTTTAGTTGTGATTTTTGTAGGAATTGCCTGTTCACCCCTCCCCCTCTAGGCGACATATCAATCTTTTCATAAATAATGCAAGAACATGAAGGTGGAGTATTAAAGGATTGGAGAATGCAAACTTTCAGACGATAATGTTTTATCGAGGTAGGTATCGAAAAGCTCTTGCTTTCCACAAATCCTCATTGGAGCCCCTCGCAAGGGCCAAACTCATGGTCGGTAAACTCTATGGATAGCCCACGAGCCTTCCTAGGTGCAAGTGGATCTTCGTGTGGCCTTTTCTGGATCACTCCCCCACCATCTTCACAATGGAGAGCTTCAACCAAACCATCGAGGGCCTCTCATCTATCATACAACACCCACAGTTACACCATAAACGCAATTGGTGTGATCTTGTAATATTATAGGCCTTGTGTGTACAACTCTTGGTGCATGAAAGCATTGATATCAAGGAGGTATGCAAACCTCACTAAACACTAAGCCAAAACTAGAGCAAGTACTCAAGCGGTCTCTAACTAGTCTAAGCACTAATCCTAGCACCTTTTCTATTCGTCTAATATTCTCTTAAGCACATATAGTGGCTAGAGCATAAAGGTATGAGCCCAAACTCAACTATAGTTTCAGCAAGATCTAACACACTCCAAATGGCCGGACAAAGGGGTATACCAACATAAGCAACTAGCCGATAGAAACACTACTAGAAATATCCACTTCTATGACGAAAATCTTAATGACGAATCCGAAATCATCATAAAAAGCGCTTTTTATGATGAATATTTCTGTTTCGTAATAGATCAGTGGTGATGATCCTCCAACCCTCCCTATCTATGATGAAATCAGGCATCATCACAAAAAACGTCATAGAAGAGAACAGGGTTTTGTTGCAGATCACTCACGCGACTCATCTGTGATGATCTCCTGTAATACTATGATGAACAGGGCTTCATCATTGAACTAATTACACATCTGTGATGAAAAATATTCGATCTGTAACAAACAGCGACTTCATCATAGATCTCCACACGGTACTTTCTCCATCCGACGTGTACCTATGGGACCTGTAGTTACTCATCCATGATGCTTGCAATTCATCATAAAAGTCTTCGCTCGATCCTTTCTCCATGCGACGTGTACCTGTGGGATCCTTCTCCATCCGACGTGTACCTGTGGGACCTGTAGTTACTCATCCAGGACGCTTGCAATTTGTCATAAAAGTCTTCGCTCGGTCCTTTCTCCATCCGACGTGTACCTGCGGGACCCTTCAGCATCCGACCTGTGGGACCCTGCGGGACCCTTCTACATCCGACCTATGGGACCCGACCCTGTGGGACCCTTCTACATCCAACTTGTGGGACCCAATGGCTTACGTGTCACGTCTACCTGTGGGACCTTTCTCCATCTCCATCCGACCTATGAGACCCGATGACTTGTGTGCCACCGGTGTTTAATAAAATCAAATTCAAAAAAACCCTGAGACCTGGGAGTCGAACCCGGGACCCAGAGCAAGGAATGGACCATCTTCACCATTGCGCTAGATGCCTGGTTGTGTTGACATATCTTTGAAGTCCTTATAGTAGTATATTCTCTGTGTGGATGCCCTACAGGTTGACCTATATATTGGATATCCACTATAAGTGGAAACAAATCTATGGACGTTGGACTTGCGACAACGGCGGCGGTAGCGGAGGATCCCCCCTGTGTTGTGGTGGCTCAGGCGTCCTTTTGGAGGCTAGGCGGCGGGGCTTTCGGTGGAGTGCGGTGACATTGGCATCCGTGTCCATTGTGTGCCGTGGTAGATGCGATAGATCCAATCCGTAGGTCCCCTTTCTCGTCTTTTCCTATTCGCTTCACTATTTTGGTCCTTGCTTGAACATGAGCTGTACAAGAAACATTCTAGCGTTTGAAATCTGGTTAGGAAAATTTTGGTCCGCAAGCACTGGTTGGTTTTCTACTGATGTCTTGGTTTTCTGCATATGTTTAGTATTCTTACTGTAAATGCCTGTGTGCAACTAGGCCTATTAATTGTCAAGTGCTTGCTTGATTATACATATCTATCTAGGCAAACAAATAGGCTAATTGCTTCTGCCTTCAAAACTGTTGTAACTGTTGTCCTCTTAATCTTTGTCTGTCTCCTATGGAAAGAAGCTCTGAGGTAATGTACTGATTGTAAGTGTGATGGTTAGACTTAATTTAGCTAGAATTGTAATGTTTATAGCTCCATTAACTTATGGATCTTTGTTGGATTATTTTCCTCTTAAGTGATCTCATTACTGAGCAAGCTCTCAACAGATGAAATGGAGGAGGCCCCCAACAAGAGGAACACACTGGCCAGCCTCATGGACGATGCCATTGTCGAGATGCTCCGCCGCCTCCCCGCCCGCTCCTTGTTCTGCTACAAATGTGTCTGTCGCTCTTGGAACCATCTCATCTCGGACTACAACAACCATAAGGTGTTGCCCTAGACTCTAGCCAGCTTCTTCTACAACACCCACCAAGGCCATCGACACTACACCAGTGTCACCGGTGAACACCCCTACTTGTCCTTCTTGTCCTTCACCTTGGTCAATATAGTTGTCTCAGATATCCACAACGGCCTCATCCTATGCTGGTGCCAAGGGGTTGATGGTTTATACTGCTATGTCGTAATCCGGCAACCAAGAAGTTTAAGGAACTGCCGCCTAGCATCCATTCTATTAGTGAGGCTCCATTAGGGATCGATCTGATAGCATCCTTGCACTTCCATGTGATTGAATATATAGAAGAGGAGCAGGATGATGAGTGCATGGGTGTGGACATCTACTCATCTAAAACTACAGCATGGATCTGTAAGGAATCTAAATGGGAACCAAATACTTGTGTGACATTTCAGAGATCAGAAACTATGTATCTTAACGGTTGTCTACACATTATGGACTACTCGTAATGTTACATACTTGCTGTGGATAGAGAGAGAGAGACATGGAGGAAAATTCCTAGGCCCCATGGTTCTTTACCCTCCATCCATCAAGCTCAGGGTCAGTTGTGTGTATGTACTCTTCATGGTCACAATATGTCCAATCTTAAAATCTAAATCCTTAAAGACTATGGTACTAATAAATGGACATTTAAGCATACTGTCAACACTCTAGGTGTTTGTGAAGACTAACATTGAATTTGATTACTTGGATGTTGTTGAGTACTACTCAACGGTTCACCCATAATGGAATTTGCTTCTCTTTGTTGGGTTGGGGAGGAAAATGACATCGTCGCAAATAACATGGACAGCAGAAAAGTTCATGTCATCACTACATGTTGCAGTGCATTTTTGAAACGTGGCATCCTACCACAAATCAACAGTCAGACCTCACTATCTTCCCTATGTTCCATTGTTCTTGGAGTTGGAGTCATTAGC